TGCACTACGGGTCATGAGTTCAGTCAAGGACAGGGTGCTAGATGGGAAAACCTAACAGGGTTCCCCCAAATGCGACATGCATAGAGTATTTCTCCCACACATAGACTTCATGCCCTCTGAGCATTTCACAATGCAAACAAACCAAATCATCCTGCAGAGCAGCTTCACTTTAACAAGTTATGAAAGCTTATTTCCTCTATAATGGGAAATACCTGCAAATGAAGTGAAATTTATTAAAATGTTAAAATGTGCTGTCAACTTGGCAAACAATTATCTACTCAAGCTTTTCATAAAGAAATAATTGTTACCCAAAGGATTCTGAAACCCAGTAAATGAAGGAGGAAAATAGTTCTTAGCATTTGCTTCCTCACTAATGACATGCGACAACCAGGAAGGGTTCTATTTCAAAAATCATAATAATGATTACAACTTCCCCTGTAAACAAGTCACATTTTTCACAACTTCAAAATATACTTCAGTTATTGTAACATTTAACAATAAAACAACCAAATTTTCCACCCAACAAGAGATCACAATTTTAAGAGCTCAAGGCTGAAGGAAACTGGTTGTTTATGATAGCTATGAGGTTACTGAACTCTGTGTAGCACTCCAAAACATGTTTAATAAGAGTGCAAAGTACAGTCCAAAACTCAGGTAGCCTGACTTGGTTTAAACTCCAATCTGTTAATTTCATGACAAGGGTCACTATCTCTTGAAATCTTTAAAATTTTTTTGGTGTGTTGTTACCTCTCTGTTTCTTCAAAACTCCCCTTGCCTCTGGGATGCCCACCACCCCCGCCCCCACCCCACCCCACCCCTTCTCTTCAGACAGGACACAGTCTGGCAACTCCAGGCCTCCCATAGGCCAGATTTCCTCCTGTGCAGCCCTCTGGGTAGAGCTGCTAATCCTCCTTATTAATTAACGAGATAATGGTGGTTAACCAGAAAGCAATATTAATGCTAACTATCCAGGAAACTTTAAGCAAAATTATTTCAGGCTTTTCGTTGTTTTGCCTAGTATGGAGAATCGGGCACTGGGAATTTGGCAACATTTTCATGCAGAATTGAGAAATCTAAGAATGAATGATTTATATCAGACCTTAACATGTAAGTTTCCTCATTAATGTTTTTTTTTTCACATTTACACTTTGACACATTACTAACTAGAGAGGAGAGTAAGGTCCTCTAACTGTTACTACAGAATTTGGAAGTGTGGAAACTGAGGGAACTAAAAATTGCATAAGAAATAAGCAGTGATGTAACTGAAAGCAAGTCAGTCATAATGGATGCATCACACAATACATCACTACATTCAGCATGTCCTTCACACACTCGTCACAGTACACACTGCATCCCACAGAACACGTGTGTCCCAGGAAGGTGTGTTGTGCAAGGCTTGCCTGGTTTTTGTTTTGTTTTGTTTTGCTTTGCTTTCATGAATGCAATAACAAAGACAATATGGGGAATAGGTACCACCTGCCCAAGAATCATTGGACATCTTTACTATCTTTGGGAAAATGGAGACCACCTTAGAGCTATTTTTCCTGAATCTGTCACAATCTTTTTTAAAAAACTAAAGAAAAAGAGGGGGAAGGGTTTTATATTACCTAAGGTTTGCTGCAGCAAACAAGCAAGCAGCTTTCATTCAGGGATTGTCAAAAACTTTCCAGTGTGCCCACTGCAATGCGGATGCCAACCAACGAATCAAAGGCATTCAGCAACTAGACAAAGAGGGTCTGATGCCAACCTCGGTGCCACTGGCAACCATTATTGGCATCAAACACAGTGTCTGCCTTTTTTTTTCCCCTTCGCCTGGCACTTCACAAACAAAATGGCGGTTCTTGTAGCAACGAAACAGCCGAAGCGCAGCCCTCTGAATCAATAACGTCAAATGATTTTATGGATTTAAACACAGTTACTCCCAAATGATGTGTGCATTTTAGATAAAGTGAAGGGCATATAATTTTATAAACAATTATATTGAACATGACCTTTCACTAATGTAAAGAAATAGTAAAATGGACTGAATTGCGGTCAACCAGACTGTATGCATAGAAGAAGCTGGATAACAAAGACATTGAGCTTTAAGAAAATACTGCCCAGTGATGCAAAAGTCTAATAAACGCTATATCAAAAATGATTTTAAAATGTATAAATTTTTCTCAAAACCATATTAGATGCAGATATAACACTATATCTTATGTCAAAGCCGTAGTAACTCTTTCCACATTTCAGAAAAGATGAGACTGCTGGACATGAAGAAGGAAAATTGAACCAAAAGAGACAGAAGGGGAAAGAAAAGCATGTGAAGTTGGTCAACAATGGAACTTTATTATATGTTGGTCTTTATTTCATCCTCCAGAAGAGATGCAGTATGTGATCTTGTATAAATAAGCAAGAGGACTATTGACATTTTTAGATCTGGAAATTGTCAATATATTGTAACATCACTCCACACTGCAATGCGGATGCCAACTAACAAATCACAGGCATCCTGAGCTAAACAAAGAGGGTCTGATGCCAATCCTGGTGCCAGTGGCAACCATCTTTGGCATTCTCTCTGTTCTCATGTTTTTCTCCTAATCATTTAGAAGTGGAGAGAGAGAAAGTAAAAAGGGGGAAAGTAATTCTGCTGCTCATTCTGTTGCAACCATTACATTTTTCCTTTCTAATTTTTCTTTCATGTTTTTCCTTATACTTTTTTTGCCTAATGTATAAAGCAGACTTACGTAGGTTTTCATGTACTTAGAAGGATAGATAAAAAGTCACGATGTAAGACATGCAATTCTCTGATTAACTACTAACTTATCTTTTAAAAGCCTTCCTTCTTTAATCAATTGCACTGCAAAATGATGTAATTAAACTACAAGTGACAAAGAAAAAGATGTAAGTTTTGAAAGCACAAAAGCACCCTGATGTGAATTTTTTGAAGAAAGAGCTCCTAGATTTCACATCTGGTTAAATCTCACTCAGATGCTGCATAGTAAGGTAGCTAAAGATACAATTATTAGATGCACAGATTAAAATGATGAAAGGTTCAACAGAGGCTGCTGAGAGAACAACAAAATCAGTGTTTTATCTTAAAATATGGCCTCAAAGAGTTGCTTAAAACTTTATGATTATCATGACCCATAGTGCAATGCAGGAGGAGTTTATGCATTTTTAAAACTCTATCTTCACAAATCCAAAGGAAACGTTCTTTATTGTCAGTTCATCACAACTAAGAGTTGGCTGCCTGCCTTGGAAGTAAACACGTGTGCATGCACACCTCAAGGACCATCCTTCCAGCAAGGTGAAATGAGAGCAGCAGTGAGAGCCCCAATCTTCCTTCTCCACAATGAAAAGTTACATGACCCACTTCTTAAAACTTTCCTTCCAGCCTTGACTTTCTCGACATAGTTACAACACATTTATAGTCAATCTAACACATATATACATCCCACCTTAAAACTGTCACCTCCTAGACAGCTGTCAATCAAATTAATTGTCATGTGTTAATGAGCTTTTTATTTCAGGACACACAGGATAAAAATACATTTTCTCTATCATTATCTGGACTTTAGTTCTTAAATACACAGAAACAGTATGTGCACTGTTTCATTTTTAAAAGAAATATAATATTTCCAAATGAGTGACGTCCAAAACCATTATTTCCAATCAGAATACAAATTTTCAAATGACTCATAAGCATATCTCTAACACTGTATCATGGAAATATCAATACAAAAAGCACATAGTAAGTACCTAGATTTCAAAGTCAAAAGAGTAAGTTGTATATTTTACTCTTTTGGGTAACAATAAAGTGCATAGCAATTCATTAATCCCATACTTATATAACGGACATCAACTCACTGTCTGCCACCTGGCTATCTGCAGGCCATTCTTCCCTCCCGCCAGACCATGCTCAGAAATGATCCCCCATCTCCACCATCTGTGACTTCAAACTTCAGGACACTTTTGGTATGCTGTTTTTTAAAGTAATGTTTTACCATGGACTGTTACTAATGTAAAGTCATCTATTTCTTGATACATTGATTTGAAGAAAAGAAATTCTCACCTACTTAAGGAAAATATATTAAAAATAATAAAGAAACATTTCATTAGCTCAAAAAACACTCAGCAACAACATCACCTTTTTTGAATTGTTCAGGCAACATTTATACCACTCTCTGTATGGAGCATTTTAAAACACAGGTATGGTACGTGGTTTCTGCATTCTTTTTGAGATTTATTTTAAACCAGTGTAACCAGTCTACTTTCTGTTTTTGCTCTGTAATGTTTTGTAAGGAAAGTTGTGACTTTCCTCCTTGGAAGTTTCACGAATTTACATTCAAGTAAACTAACAATATAAAGTGTTCCCAAGTCATTCTGGGAAAGTATTATAAATTATTTAACCAAGGACTATCTTCCAATATATCTACAATGAATATTCCACAATCAAAAGTAGGTGCTGATTAAGGTATTAAAATTAAATAAATTCAGGTCTACGTAAGAGACACATAGTGGCTATCTTATGCATTTTGTAATAGTAAACATTAATTCTATTTTCAGTCCAACAGCACTATCTTCCTAAACAAACTTCATCTACCTCATTAGTTAAGAGGCTTATACAAAGATTATTAAAGAGTGGTTTGACTCTGCATAAGGTTGTATTTTCAAATCAGGAAAAGATGACTAGATAATATAAGAAATGTAGCCTAGCACAAAAAGTGAAGTGTAATAAACTGTATTTTTAGACTACTCTTTCTGCTCGCGTGTAAAAACGTGTGTCTTTGTAACCTTTCCTGAAGTATGGCAGCCTTTCCGGGTACAAAACCCCCGTGTCTACCCCGGGGCTCACACACGGCAGTGGACACATGAGTGGGAGTGGGCACACCATCTGCACCCACAGAGGGCAGAAGAGCTCTAGGCCCCGGAGACCACCTAACCGAGCCAGAGATTCCATATGCGGAGGTTGTAGACATTGTTTTTGGGTAGAAGAAAGAACAATGTGCTCCTACCTTGCTCCTGCACGTAGTATGCCAAAAACAAATCAAGCTCCTTAACTGATACTGTGATGTGGTGTGGCTGGACACAAAGTGCTGGGTTTGTGCAATGTGGGGATTTCATGAGCCGCTCTCCATCGGTACTTTCCAAAGGGATGCCTTTGAACAGGATCACCATGACCAGATCCAGACGCCAGACTTTGTCTGCCTGTCGCAGGCAGTCGATTCTCCTGATCTTACCCTTCTGGTCAGGGTTGGACAAGACACAGCACGGGTGCTTCTTGCCAGTCACGGTGAGCACAAAGTCCTCCCGGTACTCCTGGCGGATATCCTTGCGCAGTTTGGCCAGGAGCCTGGATGCCCACTTCTGTTTGATTTCAGGCTTCTCGCTAAGAAGCTCATCTTTGACTGCTCTTTCTTCATCCTTTGACATTCGCTTCTCGTGCTTTTTAAAGTACTTGCGTTTTCGAGCCTGCAGGTTAAACCAAGTATAGGCGATTGCACGGACATGTGGAAGAAGTGCCTCAATGAATGGGTGAAATTCATCCTGTGGAAGGTAGGGTGGGAGAAGAAGAGGTGCACAGTTTAATTTTAAATGCTCAAAAATCAGACCACAATCCATTCCCAATTTGGCATAAAAACTTATGCATGAAAACAGCACTGTTTTCTTATTTAAAATGCTCAAAATAGCAGGACAAGAAGAAAATAAAGTATGCCATGCTGCCCCCTCTCCAATAAAATTCACAAGTTAATTCTCCCTCCTACAAAGGAAATAAGGTTTTATTTTGTATTTCCACTCTGCCCCCACCCCGCCCCCAATACCATGCATTCTGCACTCTTTAAAATATATGCAACCAAGGTGCTTGGCACCTAATTTATATTTAAATATTTGATTGACTAACACTAAGCAGTACCATTTTACACAGAACAGAATAAGGGGTTTTTTTGTTTTGTTTTGTTTTGAAATCAGAGCAGAGCTGTTCAGAAGGCAGGAGCAATGCCACAGTTCATTTCTCTTCTCTGTGGCACAGAAACACAAAGCATATAGATGCTCAGTGTAATGCCACACAGTTCCCGCTTTTGGAGCATGCTCTCAGCAAGAGGCTGCTGGTGGCACAAAGAGCATGCGCCATTAAACTTGATCCATTTTCTTATCAAACGTCCAACATTCCAACACTGAAACAGCACCATTCCAAAAGTGGTAACTAGAGAAACCGGTATACAGTGAGGAAAGTGGGCAAAGGACACAGCTCGGCATAACAGTGTCCTGAACAGTCACTTTCCATACTTTGAGCAGTGCATTTTCTCCCGGCACCACCACCACCAGCACACACACACACACACACACACACACACACACACACACACACACACACACACACACACACACACCCCAGCACTCTTGTGCTCTCTCACAGACACACACTCGAGTTTTTAAATAGAAGTTTTAAAGTTGAAAACAAAATTTACACAAATGTTCTTCCCATAGCTTTCCTATCGAATATGCAGCCCAACAGTTACTCAATTTGTTAATGGATCACATGAGTATGACAATTATTCTAAATCGCTTAAAAATCAATCTGAGGTGAACAATGAAAAATGGCAACTTGGCACCAACGTCACATTCTTTGTGTCTCTGCATGCTACAGCGGGGGCCTGGCCAGTCAGTTACTGCTTTTGTGGAATCCATACGATTCTTTTGCCACATAGATGGATTATCTGACAGGACTTTGGGAGGACATATTTTTCTGCTGTGAATCTGCAAGTGCACATCTCTAGAGAGCCCATCTTCTGAATTAAGTGGTTTACCTTTAAGGTCCTGCATGTTTCCTGCCTTTCATCAAAGACTTTTTTAAGGGAGAAGGCAGTGAGGAATGGAATATCATTCTACCCACAGATATTTACAGTCACTTCCAAATGTAGTCAGTGCTTCAGTACTTCCTGTCTTAGGTAAACTTATCTTCAAAGCTTAGGCCCAGGCTGATCTGAAAAAGAACACAAGGTCCCACGTACATGCACTATATGCATGTGATGAGCCAAGGACTGAAGCACAGGAGAAGTTCCACTGCAACCATTTTTCGGATCACACTGACTACAGTGTCATCCCAACAACAAAGTAACTTTCTCTACCTGATTTTATCCGAAGTTAGAATTTACATACTCATAATAGTCAGCCTGAACTCCGTGGAATAAATTCTATTTAACCAGCAGATTGAATAATTCCATTAGGTAAAGATGATGAAAGTAAAGTAATGACACTCCAACAAAGAAGGTGTCAAAAAAATTCCATATAACAATGACTGTATTTTAAAGAGGAAACTCAAAAGTTTTAGCACTAAAGACTGCAGCACGTCAGCAGTTTGTAGTTTTGACACAGAAGAGGTGTACAGCCCACCCAATCAATAATGTAGTTATCAAATGTTCTAACATATTGTCCTAAAATGCTCCTATACCAGAATAAGTATGAATCAAAATTTCATAACAATACAGAATGCAGATGATTACATCACAGCACGAGGCATAACCAAATGCCGTAGAGGAAATCATTAAACCGATCAGTAGTTTCCAGCAGAGATTTGAACAATTCAGTTACTATGTGAGCACATTAAACTAGGCCATGGAAAGAGTTAAACCACAATCTGTTCTTTGTGTGGGAAGCCAGCCCTGCTCACAGCAACCATAGCCCACGATAAGACCTCCCTATCTACATACAGTTTCTGATGCCATGCTTTTAGCATTCACTGCAACTACAAAAACTTTGTTTATTCTCCCTCAAAATATATGCAAAAGGAAAGCCTGTTCAAGGAAATGAGGACTTAAAATGTGCTATGGAAACTTGCTTCCTATGATATGACTTTTACTATGATTTATTGATATGACTAAAAAATATGCATATATGCACTCATAAACTAAAACCTTCAGAATGTAAAGAGTCTATGGGAGTAGGTACTTTGTTTCACTCATATTACCCTTGCCACATTTTTTTAATTCAATATTATTTCAAAAAATATTAAGCAATTCGAAAATACTTGAGTACTTTCACCTTTAAGTACTATGTTCAGTGACATTTCATTCTTATTAAAAAGTTAAACATAGTTTTGATAAAATATGCTCTAGTTTCAATATTGGACCAAAACATCATCTACTACGTAACAAATCTCAAAATTTTAACAAACCATTTTAAGCACCCAGAAGGAAAATTTGAAGGTTAAATCTGGAAACTGTTAGCCAATGCCCACGAAATATTGTTGCTTAAGGCTCACTCGAATTTGCTCAAAGAGGCCAGACATTCTTTTTAAATATACAGCCTTCTTTATAGATAAGTTGAAGTAGCAAACTTTTTCAGGCCGCCAATTTGCCTTGTTAGTAACCCCCCTCCATGATTGTAAGTGGAGATTTTCTATATGTCAGAGACATTTTTGCATTAACATGGCCAATTGCCATCTCCCAACTATGACTGTTTTCTAATGCTGAGAAGCCATATATTCCAAATGATTGTTAGTGACAGGACCATGGAGCTCAGTAACTGTCCTCAGCCAAACCAAAAAACGGAAAGAAAAAGTATTCACATATTCAAATGTTCCAACAGAGTAGCACTAAACAATTATACAAATTATTTTCAAAAATTATTTAAGATCTAAAAGCTCTACACTAAGGTAATATACAAGTTTGCTCTTTCAAAATTTTTATTAAAATACACTAACATTTAGTAATCCTTTGTCTTATAAAACTTCTTTTAGTTGAACTCAATTGATAAAATAACCAAATTACAAATTTCAAATATAAACGTAAGCAGCTTAATTTGACTAGAAAAATTAATTCCTATTCATGAAACAATGGTTTCCTTGCAAGGGATGGAAAAATTAGACCAATATGGGGTGGAAGAGTAAATAATACTAGGTGTTCTTAGAGTATCATCACTATACAACAATAAACCATGAAAAAAAATGTTCCTGAAAAACCTGAATGACAACAACAACAAAATAATTCAATGTCATTATACCAATTGAAAGTTATACTATTAAGGGCTTACGTTATATTACCAAAAAAGCAAACATTAAATCATGCCTGACAGTTCTTAATTTTCCTTTTCCATCTGATTTATACTCACGTAAAAGTGCTGATTTATATTGATGTACTGATACTACAGCACACTATTTTGCTGAAAATCAACTTTATCGGTAGCTTCTTTTAAATTAAGGTTCTTTATAAAACCTAGGTATTTTATTGCAATAACTGAGATACTATTTAAAGTTTTCAACAAATTAAGAATGTTACTTTATTCTGTATTTACTGTCTTAAAACATGTTATGTTACAGTTATCAGACACTTACGATACAAAACTAAACTACTGATCCAATACAAAAGTACCGCTCTTCACTTTTGCAATACCTTACATTATCTATAAAGTCAGAGGGTGGTTAGGTGAGAATTCTAAAGGTAAAATTCCTTCTTGGTATAGGCCTTAATTCCCCAAAACAGTTTTAATATAGTAACCGAGATTTATATTATTAAAATAGTAGAGAATATGAGTCATCGTGAATTAGAGTAAGTGTGCACCCTTGAATATTAATGTGATAATTGAATGATTATATTATACATGTCCTGGACACTCTATATGTTAGGATGCTGCGATATTATTTTTAACTTACACAAATTAAGATAAAACTAGTGACTTTTGAATACATATTTAAGAGACTAAAAATGCAATGGAATCACTATCAGTGTTTTCAAAAAGCCAATCCTGGAAATATAAATTCAGAAAAAACAATTATTCAGTACCTTACAGGTGAGAATCAGTGAAGCAGTGCTTGGTAAATGAAAAGCTTACTTCGATTTGTTGTATTTGATCCCAATGTAAGAACAATGTAAATGGATGTAGATTACCAGAGAGAAAAAGAAAATCCTGCTGATGGGCAACAGTAAAGGTAACTTTTACAATTAAAGGCAGTACATTAGACCTGAAAGTTTCATCATATTCATTGACTATTATCATCCATAGCTTTTAAAATACAAATAAGTCAGCAACTCATTTTTCCAGTTTTGTTAAAGTGCACGTTTACTTGCTTAAAATAGCCATATCTAACTTAATCATTCTCAGATGCCAAACAAAATATAAACAATAAAAAAATGTGTCAGCCAAAAAGCTACAGGACTGTATCCAATCACTGAATAAGCCTTATCATTGTTTTCATCTTCATTCACAATTTATGAATGCCTCAGTCCTTTTGAATCACAATGGCTTCTAATTGTCATACAATTGAAATCTTAATTATTTGTCCATTATAAAAAAGCATCATCATTGTGATATTAGATTTTTTTAAGGGAACACACCCAAAAGTAGCCAATACGTCTTTAACTGTTTCGTTTTCTGCCAGTGTCAGAGAAAATGGTTATCGATTACCAATCGTGGCGATTACTTTGAGGTAAATCGTCCTAGACCATTAGAGGTTTAAATATTATTTCAAATAACAATTCTAGGCTAAGCTGTTTAGTTAGTTCATGAGTTAGCTCGCTGAGCAGCGGTAAAAACTGTGCCCAGGTAAGTCTGTTCGGTAACGCCACTTTTCCCTTTGACCGCCTGGTTTAAAGTGACATAAGTCGTGTTTCTTAAAGTTAGAGAGCCAATGTGTTATGTCTCAGGACAAGGTGCAAAATGAAAAAAACAAAAACAAAAACAAAAAACCCCTCACTTTTGAGCATGACTTTCTGTCTCAGGCACTGCGCCCCAGCCTCGTCGCGGGAACGGCACAGGAGCGCCGGACCCTGGAGCTCCTCACCATGTGCGCGACCGGCCACCCTCGTGCCGACGTCCAGGCGGCCGCCGAGGTGCGGTCCCGGGAACCCCAAATGCGGCGCCGGGGGCCGGGTGTCCGTGCCCGCCCGGACCACAAACTGGGCTCGCGGGCCGCCTACAGGCGCCCGCACCGCGCGCCCACGTCCCGGCTGGGTCCGCACCGGGCCCCCGAAGCCGAATCCGCTCCGCGCGGGCGGCCGGGGAGCGACAGGGATCGCGCCCAGGCGGCCCTGCCTGCCCACCGACGGCGGTGCGCGGCTCCTGGCGCCCGGCTCCCGGCAAGGGGCGGCAGCGGGCCCCGGGCGCGGACAGGCCGGCCGCTCCGCGGAGAACGGGATGCGCGGGCCGTTACCCGTGCGCACGGAGGGAGCGGCGGCACGAGACGCGCCAACAAAGGCGCGGACCAGGGAGCGGCGGGAGCGTACCTGAGTGAGACAGATGGGCGAATACATCATGACTTCGCCTGCGGACGCGCGCCGGAGATGCCCGAGGACCGGCCAGCAGCGAGGCACATCTATTCACGTCCCAGTCATCCGCTCCCGCAGCCCGGCCCCTCAACTAGCGCAAGCCGGAGCTCCCGCCGCTCCCGCTGAAATCCAATCTGCGCTTCAGCCCCACTGCCGCGCGGGCCCTGCTGCCGCGCTGCCGCGCCGCCGCCGCCGCCGCCGCCGCCGC